TTCGATGAAATCCATGGTGACATTGTCCCATACTTGATAAGGGATTAGCAGTGGTTGGAGCAGGCCAACTGCGGAAAGAGTCTTTGTCTTGACTCGTTGGCATGTTTTGTAGGCCGAGACATACTCATGTACGGTCTTTCTCATTGAAAGTCAGTAGAATTGTTGTGCCACCTTTTTGTAGGTTCGTATTACTTCAAAGTGGCCTCCTAGGGCTGAATCATGGTATGCCTGCAAGAGTTGGTGTACCAAGTGGAGCCTAGGAGGAATAATTACACGATACTTGTAGAAGAGAAATCCGTTATTCGGTCGTACGGTTGTCCAGGTTGTTTATCGGCGAGGTCATTGATTTTCTGCATGTAGGGTGTGTTTGAACTTCTTTTTTAATGTAATTCCATAACTGTGTTTGCTGAATAAATAAGGCACTTAGTGTTGTTTCTATAGTGTGGCGGGATAGGGCATCTGCAGCTGCATTTTCTTTCCTTGGCTTGTACGTAATCTCATAATCATACCCAAACAACTTGGAAACCCATTTGTGCTATTCTGGTGTTGTGATACGTTGCTCGAGCAAGTACTTGAGATTGCGTTGGTCTGTCTGAATGAAAAATTTGTGACCCAATAGGTATGGTCGCCAAGTTTGGACGGCAATGATGACGGCTAACATTTCCTTAACATAAATTGACCAAGCTTGTTTGGATACTCCCAGAGCTTGACTGAGGTAGGCTATTGGCTTCCCTTGTTGTGAGAGAATGACACCTATTCCATCATTTGAGGCATCCGTCTCAATAGTGAAGGGCTCATTGAAGTTGGGAAGAACCAATGTAGAGGTGGAAGTCATTGCTTGCTTCAATATGTTGAAGGACTCTTCGGCCTCTGGATTTCAGTTAAACTGTCCTTTCTTGAGCAATTGAGTCAACGGTCTTGCAATAAGCCCATAGTTCTGCACAAATTTTCTGTAGTATCCAGTCAAACCCAAAAACCCTCTTAGTTTTGTCACATTGTTGGGTGTGAGCCAGTCGAGCATGACTTGAATCTTGGTGTGATCTACCTTGACCCTTTGTGGTGTGATAATGTGGCCCAAGTACTCTAGTTCTTGCTGGCCCAACACACATTTATTGAGTTTGATGAAGAACTTATGCTGTCTCAAAATCTTAAACACTTGTCAGATATGTGATAAATGTGAGTGTCAGTTAGGATAGTAAACTAGGATGTCATAAAAAAAATACCAGTACAAATTGACGCAGACAAGGCCGAAAAATATAATTCATAACTGCTTGAAATGTAGAGGGTGCATTACACAGTCCTTTACCAGGTATTTCTATTGTCCGTTGTGTGTCCGAAAGACTGTTTTGTAGACGTTTGGCCCATGCACACAAATCTGATGGTATCCTGCTGTTAAATCTAACTTTGTGAAATAAGTTGCTCCATGTAATTCATCTAACATTTCTTCTACTGTAGGAATGGGAAACCAGTCTTTGATGGTAACTGCGTTGAGCGCCTGGTAGTCGGTACAAATATGTCATGTACCATCCTTTTTTTAACTAAGAGAACTAGTGATGAGAAAGGACTGGTACTCGGTCGGATGAGACCGGAACGGAGTATTTTGGCTACCTGTTTTTCAATTTCAGCTTTATGAAAATAGGCATACCGGT